TGGTACTTGGCCAGCAGCTTGCTTCTCCAGTGGGCATGGGGGATGTCGTGCAGAGACAGGCGCAGATTGTGGTAACTGTCTTTAAACAGCAGGGGTTTTGGCTCTTCCACTAGGTAGCCACCCAGGGTCCGCTCCAGTTCCAGCACCTCCTGTGGGCAGGAGGCAACGGGAAGGGGGAGCCCGTCATACTTGGCCAGTTGGGGTCTTTCCTGCTGCAAGCTCGGGGTGTGGGGACACAGGCGGGCAGTAGGAGCCAGGCTGTAAGACTGAGGGCAGGCCACCATCTGAGCACAGGGCTGGGCATTTGGTAAGTGCTCGGAGAAGACACACCGTGTGAATAGACGAGGGAATGGACAGATAATGGGACAGATGGATAGATAACTGGATTTATAGATGACTGGACAGGTAGGTGGATGAATGGATGGATAAATAGTTGGGTAGATAGATACAGACAGACGATGGATGTGTAGATGGATATGCAAACGGATATACAAACAGAAGGACAGACGGAAGGAAAGACGAAGGGATGGTTGGCTTTGGCTGCACAGACAGATGGACTGCTGAGTGAATGAGTATACAGATAGATGGGCAGCAAGCTGGATGGATGGATGGATGGATGGACGGACGGACGGACGGACGGACAGACGGGGACTGAATAAATAAGTGATGCCATCAAGCTCAAATGTGGTGGCTTTCCTCCTGCCGTCCCCCCCATTCTCTGATCAAAGCTGGACACTGGCCAGCGCCCCAGTACTCAGAGATCCAGGCCGCGAGAGCCTCTCCTCGCAACCCCCGATCCCTTGTGGGCCTTCTGCAGTTTCAGGCCAGCCTGGCCCAGCAGAAGACACTCACTCTCCCATGAGGACTTTTCACCCATGTTGCATCAGTCCTCGACTTGGAGCTGGGGACAAGTCATGTGAGAGTGGGAGACAGGAGCTAGAGGGGACCCTAGACCTGGGTCAAGGGAGGTCTGGAGCTACAGGAAAGGCCCCGGAGGCTTCGCAGAGAGGTGGGCGGCAGGAGAAGGTCAACACAAGGCCAAGGGGCTATGCTCTTCCAGTGTCAGGATGAGCTCGAGGTCTTAGAAACAGCCCCTGCGTGCTTCGGTCACATGGGACAACACACCCGCCTTTGCGTCAGCGGCCGCGCCCACTGGGATGGCCTTCACCCTTCTCTTCCGGGCACCCTTCCTTGGCTTTTGGAGCACAGGTCTAAGGTTAATGTGCCGTGAAGCCTTCTCAGATCCTCTCCCTCCCAGGCTGGTGCTCGCCTAGCCCTCCATCAGCGAGGTCCCCTGTCATTTCCCCTGCCTCTAGCCTGCAGTTTGGTGAGGGCAAAACTGTATCTCGCGGGTCTGATGCCATTTCAATGTTTGAGCAATGAGTGATTAATGAGGTTGATGGCGGTAGAGGGGTGCCTGGAAAGTACCACGATTCTGGGAGGCGGGGGCACTGGAAGGTACCGCACAGCCGGTCAGCTGGGGGGAGGGGGTGATACAGCCACCGTGTGCCAGGGCTGTGTGCTACCGACGGCCTGGCCTTACCTTCAGTGCTACGGGCGTGTCCTCTAGGCAGTAGACCCTGAGGCTATACTCCAGGGAGGTGCAGAGGGCAGGGGCGAAGATGGCCAGCTGGAGACGCTTGACTGCCGAGCGGGAATAGGACTCACCCGTGAACACGTAGGTGCCCAGCTGGTCCAACAGGATGTGGCAGGACCTGGCCTCCAGCTGGCAGTAGCAGGGCGTGTTCAGGGTTTCCTCGTCCAGGGTCACCACCTCCTACATGGGGAGGCAAAGAGGTCACAGTCAAGGCCATGGAGAGATCCACCCAGGTTGGGCTGGGAGAAGAGGGGCTTTCTTTCAGCTTCTGAGGCCTCCCAGGGCAGGTTCAGATAGTAGATC